GGGTTTCCGAGGCAGTATCACTACGGAAGTAGGATTGCCCAACCTTCCTTCCGAGGAGTGGCTGGTGGGTTTGAACCGCCAGCCGTCTGGTTAGCAAGCAAGTGTCTTAGCCACTATGCTACCAGACCTCCCTTCATCATCATAGATGGACATAAACCAAAAAAACAAACTCACTGCCATCTAGTCAATTTGACCCATAGTGACCCTTCGTTGGGTTTCTGAGGCAGTTATCTCTACATAAGTAGATTGCCCAATGTTCCTTCTGATGAATGGCTGGCGGGTTTGAACCGCCAGCCTTCTGGTTAGCAGTCAAATGCCTTAGGCACTATGCTACCAGAGCTCCCATAGATAGACAAAGGAGGATTAAAATTAGATTTCTACACACAGAATAGTCTAACACCCTGCTCATTTTACATATGAAGAAACCGAGGCTCAGAGAAAAGGTGAGTTGTTTACAGCAGTGTTTCCAAAATGTCAGTTTGTAGACCATATCAGAATCCCCCAAGGGGCCTATTCTGGTTACCTAGTACCACTCTGACAAGAATATACCACAAATGGAATGGCCTTAACAAACAGGAGTTTATTCTTACAATTTGGAGGCTTTAAGTCCAAGTTCAAAGTGCCAGGCTCTAGGGGTTGGGTGAAAGCCCCTCAACTTTAGGGTCCAGCTCTGCTTCCTGCTTCCGGCCCACTGGAGCTAGAGGCATTTCTTCACTCAAGACAGCTACTGGTTGCTGAGGCTGAGAAGCCCCAAGGCTGACAAGTAAAAAGGCACAGTCCCAATGTTACCAAACCACACAGCAGGTCATTAACTTAAGCCCATTGTAAGTACCAAGGTCAGCAGAGCATAGCAGGCTGCTGACGAATGATACGGCTACATGCAGGGTCCAAGCATGCCATAGGCTGGAGACCATTCCCAAAGCTGCTGCTTATATGTGGGAAGTAGACCACATTCCCAAAGGCAGCTACTCAACTGCTCATGGTAGATTCTACCATGGAGTTGATAACCAGTCCCATCATGGGGAATGCCTAGCCACTCAGCCAGGCCCAGCCAAGTTGACACAAAAACATAACCACCACAGGGCCCTCACAAGCTGGGGCAGAAGGCCCTCAAGATGGCCTGGTCCTACAGGGGAGTAGGTAACAGGCCAGGGCCATTCCCCTAGCACTATTCCCTGCCACCTGGCCCAGCCAAAGCCACCATAGTTACCTTCCTCCTCCTGCCCACCTGGGGCTTGGTTTGTTTCCTGCTCCAGGCTGCTGGTCTGTGAGTTCCTTCCCTCCACCAGCTACTGCCCATAAGTCTACACTGGGGCCATCCTTGCTTCAGCCCAGAGAGTAGGTATAAGGCAGATCTGGACTCTTTCTGACCCCAGTAGGTTCAATAGCCAGAGCAGGGTAGGGTATGGGCAGCAGGACATTGGAACACAGCAGTCATCAACTTCGCTCCATGTTGCAGCCATGGCCCAAGTCTGTACCCCAGGAAAGAAAGAGCACCTTTTAGGCCTGCCTACCTTATAAGCCTCAGATACTTGGTGACTGTCGTTCCTGTTCCACTCAGGCCACAACCTCAACCCAGCTCATGTCTCCTGCCTTGGGGCCGAGTGGGATGGCTAGAAAAACATCGGTTCTGGAAGGTTAAATAATCTTAGGTTCAAATCCCTATTCTGCCTCTTAGTAGCTCACTCAATTTAACAATTTTCATCTGCAAAATGGGGGCAATAATTCCTATCTGGAAGGATTGTTAGAATTTTATTTATCAACGACTTCCATAGCATTTACTGTGTCCTGGGCAATATTCTAAACAATCACTCACTTAATCCTCACAACAACCTTAAGGGAGGTACTAGCTGTCATCTCATTTTACAGACAATGGCAGTTAAGGTACAGAGAGGTCAAGTAACTCACCTAAAGTCACAAAGAATTAGTTGTAGAGCCAGGATCTGAACCAGGTAGCCTGGGCCAGAGCCCATGCTCTCAAATCTCACACAATACATACTACATGTCAGAGGGCTGAGAGTCCTTATCACAAAAAAGGGGCTTAATCAGTCTAGTTTCTTATTCTCACTAACTCTCCTTTCTCAGGAGGCTGGAAAAGAGATTAAAAATCTTCTGCGTCCCGTCAACCTCGCCCAGATGCTTGGCTCCAAGGCTCCCTGCTCTAACCACCAGGTCACAGGGCCACCGGGGACCCATCTCAGACGGGTCCGTCTAGGGGGCAAGGAGGGAGGGCTGGACAGACGATGGTGAGTCATCA